TCTTGTACCCTCAATGAATCCCCAACAATAAAAATAATAACAATAAAAAATTGTCTCAAGAGACACATAAAAATCAACCCCAATTTTTCATGACAATACATTCTCCCTCGTTATCTACAGATTCAGTTTTTTGTGCCTCTTCAGCTTTACTTTAACCATTTTCAGACAGTAGAGTACCTTCCTTTCCAGCTTCCTACTTTTCCTCCTCCTTCCCTCTAGCATCTCTGTTAATCTTTGTTCCAGGTTCTTTCTTAGCAGATTTTTTTTTTTAGTGTAGGTTCAGGTTTCAGCAGAGCAGGCTTTGCTGACATAATACGGCAGATTGTCTTGTGGGCTCCTGTTTAGTTACTTTAGATTCAGTTTTGCTCTCTGTTTTCTCTGGAGACTTTCTCTTTACTATGTGCAACAAAAAGTAAAGCAATGGGCTGGAACTGCTGGCACTGCCACTAGATGCTGTCTCTGCCACTGCACCTACTCATGTGCAAGACAGGGCATAGCCTGGCCTCTCTGATCTCTTCATCTTTTTTTAAAGTATCCTTTACCTTTCATCAATCTCCTAAAGACTAATTTTACTTTAAGATTTCTTTGGCTGAGGCTAAGCTGATGATAGCTGCATGGTTTTAAAGACTTTGTTTCTAAAATGTCATTCTAGGCTAGGTGTGTGGCTCATGCCTGTAATCCAAGCTCTCAGAGGGCAAAATAGGTGGATCACTTGAGCTCAGAAGTTCGAGACCAGCCTGAGCAAAGTGAGACTCTGTCTCTACTAAAAACGGAAAAATTAGCTGGGCATTGTGGTGGGCATGTGTATAGTCCCAGTTACTTAGGAAGCTGAGATATGAGGATCTCTTGAGCCCGAGAGTTTGAGGTTGCTGTAAGCTAAGATGACGCCACAGCACTCAACCCCAGGGCAACAGAGTGAGACTCTGTCTAAAAAAAAATTAATTAAAAAAATGAAAATGTCATCCTCATCCTTTCTATAATGCTTAAATGCTGCGATCTCTTCATAAAGCATAAATTTGCTGCTGTAGTATCATAACTCCTTTGTGAACCAAATGGAAAGATGTATCCCTGCCTATTTTTTATCCTTAGATGATTGAATGAAACAAGGCATATAGGCATCATCTCTAACATACAACAAGTGCTTGATTTTGTGAATTTTAATTCCTCCCCTTAGCTTCCTTTGGTTTCTAAGTGAAGTGTACATATCTTTGATTCATTAAGGTAGCCATCCCTAGTCTATCTATAGTCCTTCTCCCTTATCCCATATATGCACTACTTATGTTACTAGAAATGATTAAAAGACCGAGTATTTGTTAGACACAGGTTTTATTTATTCTTGGTTCCATATTAACCTTAAGCAACATGGCTTACCTCAGGTGTCCTCAAACTACGGCCCACGGGCCACATGCAGCCCACCTAGGACATTTATCCAGCCCGCCAAGTGTTTTTGCTGCCACTGCCTGTCCTGCTTAGCAGCCGACTCATCCCCAGGCCCGCAGTGTAGCCCTCCAACCGTCTGAGGGACAGTGAACTGGCCCCCTGTTTAAAAAGTTTGAGGACCCCTGGCTTACTTCATTGTTTTGATGTTCTTAGTTTCATGTAACAACATATGTGCTTTGTGACAGGTACTTCTCACAGGATGCATTGATCTCTCTTCCTTATGCTGGTGTTTTATTTCTAGGTCAGCATCGCTTGTCCTGAGAGGATGGAACCAATCACAAAGATCTCCCACATCCCGCCCAGTCGTTGGGCTTTAGTCTGCAGTTTGTGCAAGGTGAAGACAGGGGCTTGTATTCAGGTAAGTCCTCAATGAGAATTGATAGATGGGGCTCACACCAAATTGGCTGGACTCACCCTCCCAGAGTGTCCTGTTAACCAAAAGGTCACACAGAAGGCTGCCACCAGTTCTTAGGGCTCTGCCATTATACAAATCTCTCATTTATTCCTTTTTTTGATGTTGCCTCTGGACCATTCAGTTTATTCTTTTCCATATTCATAGTGGTAGTTAATCTTTATCCTTTGCTGTCAGAGCTGATAATTTAAGTGAATTCTCAAGCTAGGTGATGCCATCCTAGATGGAAAGATTTAACTCTAAAATAACCAGGCCCATGTTCCTGTTGTGCCTCACCTACTAACTGTAGAAGGACTTGGGTTGTAGGATGATTTGACAGATAGCCCTGTTGCTGTGCTAAGTAAGCATTTTGATAGGGAAAGATGCATTTGAATGGATAATTCTGGTGAATAGTTTTGAAAGGCATTCTCATAGGCATGTGTCTTATGTATAATAGTGCAAATAGTAGTGTCTTAGTTTTCTGAGACATCTAAGGCACAGAAATTCAGCTGCTTGAAGTAGTAGTAGCTGGCACGGCATGCTATAGCAGCTATTAGGAGAGAAGGACATGGATGGGACTAGGAAAGGCCAGTTACCTCTGGCAAAGACACAGAGGTTGAGTATTCATGTTCTCACTTTCCATAATGTCATTTTACTTTTTTTTTTTTGAGATAGAGTCTCACTCTGTCACCCTCAGTAGAGTGCTGTGGTGTCATAGTTCACAGCAACCTCAAACTCCTAGGTTTGAGCAATCCTCTTGCTTCAGCCTCCCAGTAGCTAGGACTACAGGCATCTGCCATAAAGCCTGGCTATTTTTAGAGACAGGGTCTTGTTCTTGCTCAGGCTGGTCTCCAACTCCTAAGCTCAAGGGATCCACCCACCTCAGCCTCCCAGAGTGCTAGGATTGCAGGCCTTCATTTTACTTTCTATTCCAAATGTTATAAGGTAGTACTGCTGGCAAGAGGGAAGGAAAGGGTAACCTTCCACACCTTAGACCTCCTGTATATGAACTGCAGGCTAGTTGGAGTTAGATTTGCCTATCAACCTTCTTCACAGAAAAAGGGCCATATAATGAATGGCATAGTTTATGGATAATGACTCTAGGTGTTTTCTGAGGTTCCTTGCTGTCTGGCATGCCAGTATGTCCCAGGCTCATCTTACAGATTTGTTGTTCCAGACTGGAATCAGCCACTCCTTCGAGGAGCACTTAGATTTTTACTGGGAAGTGGTATTTAAAGAACACACAATTTAGAACCCCCCCCAAAAAAAGCCCTTTTAATTTAAATTCATTTTTATATTTTACAAAATTGGATGCTTCTTCTTGCTTTTTCTTTTTTACATTTTTTGACTGATTACTTATTTTAACTATAGCACTTTAGCGATTATAAAGGAAATACATTTAAAGAAAAACTATTCCCATGAGGTCTACTACCCTAGAACATTGTCTGTTTATGTTTATCTAAGTTCTCTCCTGGTTGCTCCCCATATGTGAGCTCCTTGAGGGCCAAGATTTTACATCATTGTTCTGTGAATTTCCCCTAGCACGAAGTAGGGTACCTTCCCATTGTTAGTGCTTAATTAGTGTTTATTATATAAATAAATCCATATTTTATTATACTATAGATTAGTTTGTGATAATGCATTTCCCCCCACTAAAAATATTTTTTATATTTTCATAATTATTGTTTAGTCATTTCATAATAGCACCTTAAACTTATGTCCAGTAATTTACTTATTTTTGTTAACTGTGATACATTAACAAAAATAATGTGATTCATTTTCCCCCTACTTTTGCTATTTTGAAGGATAATGTTTACAATAGTTAATAATTGGCAACAAGACTATTATTGGTGAGAGAAAACAATGTCTTTGACCAGGGGTCCTCAAACTTTTTAAACAGAGGGCCAGTTCACTGTCCCTCAGACCGTTGGAGGGCCAGACTGCGGGCCCCGGGACGAGTCAGCTGCTAAGCAGGACAAAAACACCTGAAGCAAAAACACCCAGCAGGCCAGATAAATGTCCTAAGCAGGCTACATGTGGCCCGCAGGCTATAGTTTGAGGACACCTGGCTTTGACCTTAACAGACCTGGGTTTGCATTACATCCCTGAATTATCATATTCTGCCTATACTGTAGTTATTTATCTTTGAGTTTTATCTGTCCTAAAACTGTTAGCTCAGAATGTTTCATCCTTAGATTCCCCCATACCCTGATGTGGTAGATAGACAATAAATATTAGATTGATGGTTGGATGATAGATGAAACATTCTGGAGGAATTTTCTCATTTGCAGGGCAATGGTTCTTATTCTCATTACTTAGAATTTATAGTATTTATTTTATAAAGATCTTACCAAACTGAGACTCTTAAAATTTTAATTATAAGTAATTATAGGCTGGGCGTGGTGACTCATGCCTATATTCTAGCACTATGAGAGACTGAAGTGGGAGGATTACTTAACCAGGAGTTGGAGACCATCCTGGGCAGCATAGTGAGACCCATCTCTACAAATTTTTTACAAAGGAAATGACATATATTCCACAAGTATTTATGCCTAATTCTGTGCTAGGTTTTGGGTCTATCAATGAAGCAACAAAGAACCTTTATACCATGCAGCTTAAGTTTAGTTGGGAGAAACAAATAGTAAATAGCACATTAGAAGATGATAAGTATTATGGAAAGGAAGAATATGGTATACAGTAAGAAAGGGAGCGTGGGCTCGGCGCCTATAGCTCAACCGGCTAAGGCACCAGCCACGTACACCTAAGGTGGCGGGTTTGAATCCCCAGCCCGGACCCGCCAAACAACAATGACGGCTGCAACGAAAAAATAGCCGGGCGTTGTGGCGGGCGCCTGTGGTCCCAGCTACTTGGGAGGCAGGGGCAGGAGACTCGCTTGAGCCCAGGAGTTTGAGGTTGCTGGGCTCAACGTTGAACTAGGTCAATGCCATGGCACTCTACCCAGGGGGACAGCTTGAGGCTCTGTCTCCAAAAAAAAAAAAAAGAAAGAAAAAAAAAGAAAGGGAGCATGAGGCCAGGGCATGAGTTACAAGGATTTTCTTATTTGTCAGTGGTTTATTTATTAAGAAAAACTATTCCCTACCCCACATAGTCATGTTTCATAGTTCAGGAACACAAGTCAGTGATAAACTTCTATGTATTTTGACCCAAAGAAATTCTTTATATTCTAAAAATTACTCTGCACTATGAAAGATACAAGCCTTCCTCATCTTCTCAAAATTATTCATGAAATTATAATTCCTGTAAAAATCAGCATATGCCTTCCTTCTTGATTTAGCCACAGCAAACTTATAGAGAGCTGCAATCTTCAGGGATACACTGAATGCTCCAGCAATCTGAAATCACAGGTACCTGGCTAGAAGACCATGCATCTAATGTTTTCTCAAAGCATAAAAGCCATGGTAGTTATCCTTGATAGGGATGTCAGCCACAACACCAATATTCTTCCTTGCTGATGGAGAAATGTACTTTGGTTATAAGTTTTTTTGTTTTGGTTTGGTTTGGTTTGGTTTTTTTTTTGAGACAGAGTCTCACTTTGTCGCCCTTGGTAGAGTGCTATGGCATCATAGTTCACGCCAACCTCAAACTCTTGAGCTCAAGAGATTTTCTTGCCTCAGTTTTTAATTTTTAGTAGAAATGGGGTCTCACTCTTGCTCAGGCTGGTCTTGAACTCATGAGCTCAAGCAATCCACCCACCTCAGCCAACCAGAGTGTTAGGATTACAGGCATGAGCCACCACACCCAGCCGTAGTTATAAGTTTAAATAAGAGTGGACAGGGTAGGACTCATTCTGAAGGTAACATTTGAGCAGAGACTTAAATGCAAGAGAAAGAGCTATGCAGATGTTTAAGGTAAAAGTGTTACAGGCAGAGGAAACAGTCCAAAGGTCCTGAGATAGGAGTATGTCTGGCCTGTTTGAACAACAGGAAAAGAGGTCAGTGAGACCAGAATGGAATGGAAGAGAAGATCAAAGAATTTACACAGGGCCCTGATTGATTAGGACAGGGGTTGGCAAATTTTTTTTATGAATAACCAGGGAGTAAATATGTGCTATAAATACAGATTTTGTAGACCATTTGTAGTCTCTTTTGCAGCTACTCAACAATGCCTTTGTAGCATGAAGGCAAGCACTACAGGTAATACTTAGAAATGAATATGGCTGTATTCCAATAAAATTTATAGTGTCAAATTTAAATTTTATATAATTTTTACATGTCACAAAATATTCCCCTTTTGATTTTTTTCCCACCATTTGAAAATATAAAAACCATTCTTAGCTCCCATTCTTAGCTAGTGGGCCACAGAAAAACAAACAGCTGGCTGCATTTGGTCTGTGGGCCATAGTTTGCCAGCCTTTAATAAGGGCTTCTGGGGCCCTTATAAAATCTTTGCTTTTTACTATGAATTTAAGAGGGAAGGCATGGGAATATTTTGAACAAACAAGTGATATTATTTGACTTTTTTTTTCTTTTGACATGTCAGCTTACAAATAACTTATGTTTTTAAAAGGTTATGGTTTCATCCAAGGAATAAAGATAATCTTGAGGGGGCTGGATGCCATGGCTTACTCCTATAATCCTAGCACTCTGGGAGGCCAAGGCAGGTGGATTCCCTGATTCACAGGTTCAAGACCAGCATGAGCCATAGCAAGACCCCCATATCTAGTTTTTTTTTTTTTTTTTTTT